GAGTTGCTGTCTCACGTGCGAATCCTAGGTGTAATTTTGTTGAGGAACTGCCATACAGTTTTCCATAGTGACTATGCCATTTTACATTTCCACCAGCAGTGTGCGAGGCTTCCCACCTCTCCACGTCCACACTAGCACTTCTTGCTCTCTGGGGTGTTTTTAGGTGGTGGTATTGGTAATAGCACTATTACCAATGAGCACTATCTCATTGTGGTTTTGCTTTCTTTCCACTTTCTCATAATTAGTGATTGTGGGGAGCAACCGAGACTAAGTTACTAGAACTGCTAAGACTAATTGTATGCATCTGCTCTCCCACAATATGGCGCTGAGAGACAGCAAACAACTTCTATGCAGCTGCCTCACTGATTCGACCAACAAGCTGCAGGAGCTGATCCTGCCCCTGATTGGAGGAGAGCAGCGTGCTCGGCGTGTGGGCAGCAAAGCATGGATTGGTGGAAGAGGACTATAAAGGAGGAGAGAGACAACGTGCACCAGGGAACTGAGGAACATCTGAGCAGCCCCTGAGAGAGCCGGCCGGTGGTGTGCTGCTCCTCCGCGGAAGTGGGGAAAGTGGCGGGGGTGCGCCCTCCACCGAGGGGGGGTGGGGCGGCAGCTAACCCAGGACGGCGTCGTTCCTCTGCGAGTGGGGGCTGGCAGCAAACCCGGAAGGGCCGGGCAAAAAGAACAGCGCAGGGTCTGGTGTCGTTCCTCTGCGAGTGGGGGAGCGACAAGTGATGTTGAGCATCTTCTCATGTGCTTGTTGGCCACTTGTATTTCTTTGGAGAAATGCCTATCCAAATCTTTTGCCCATTGTAAAAATTGGGTTCTTTGGGGTTTTTGTTCTTGAGCTATGGAAGTTCTTTCATAGTCTTGGATTTGAATCCCTAAAAACTTTTAATTTTTTAAAATGTATTTATTTGAAAGGCAGTGTGATATATAAATACAGAGAGACCTTCTATCGCTGGTTCACTTACCAAATGGCTGCATCAGCCTGGACTGGGCCAGGAACCAGGAACTGCATCCAGGTTTCCCATATAGGTGGCAGTGGCCCAAGCACTCAAGCCATCTGCTGCTGCCTTCCCAGGTGCGTTAGAGCAGGGAACTGGATCAGAAGCTGAGCAGCTGGGACTCAAATCCATTCTCAGATGAGATGCTGGCATGGCAAGTGGCGCTTACCCTGCTACACAAAGCTAACCTCATGATTCTGAACTCTGCTGGTACACTGTCTGGGGTCAGTGCTGCTCTCACCAGCACTGTCCACCCGCACCTCAAACACCAGTCAGTGACTGTCTCAAACCTGTTCTCCAACCAGAGCAGAAAACAGATAGAACTGACTACAAGATGTCTGTATGCCTGACTGTGAAGCAGCGCCCTCTTCTACCCAGTTCCCTGGGAATTAAGCTTCTGTCCCCAACACCCAGGAGAGCTGGTCTCCTGGTGGAGTCTGGGCTGGGAGTCCCAGGTAGGGAAGGCAGGTCCAGCAGTGACCCCCCTACTGCCCCCAGAGCTCAGCTTGTGCCCACCCCAGGCCCAGCTGGGACACACCCTCGTTTATCTCATCTCAGAAAAGCAATTTAGGGGCGGCGCTGTGGCGCAGTGAGTTAAGGCCCCGGCCTACAGTGCCGGCATGCCATGCGTTCACCAGTTCAAGTCCTGGCTGCTCCTCTTTCTGATCCAGCTCTCTGCTATGGCCTGGGAAAGCAGTGGAAGATGGCCCAAGTCCTTGGGCCCCTGCACCCACATGGGAGACCCGGAAGAAGCTCCTGGCTCCTGGCTCCTGGCTTCAGATCAGCTCAGCTCTGGCTGTTGAGGTCATTTGCGGAGTGAGCCAGCAGATGGAAGAACTCTCTCTCTGGACCTACCTCTCTCTCTAACTTTGTCTTTCAAATAAAAAATAATTATTTAAAAAAATTCATTTTCAACAAAATATTTCTCCCATTCTCTATTTTAGATTACTTGGGATAATAACTAACATGTATAAAGTTGTCACATGCCAGACATGTTTTTAAGATTTTTAAATTTATTTTAATTTTATTTGAATGAGACAGATGAGATCATCTGTCCACCAATTCACCCCCAATGCCTGCACAGCCAGACTGCAGCCTGGAGCCTGGAACTTTACCTGGGTCTCCCATGCAGCTGGCAGTTCCCAAATACTTGAACCACCTCCTGCAGCCTCCCAGGGTGCAAAATAGCAGGAAGCAGAGCTGGGACCCGAACCCAAGTGGGATGTGGGTGTTCCGAGCAGCACCCTAAACTACTTTTTCACCAAATGCCCACCCCTTGCCAGACACATTTATATGGGTTAATAGTTTATATTTACACACTTTGGGGCCACGTGCTGCCCTTACCCCCAGTTTCTAGATGAGGAAATCAAAGCACACAATTACTTCGATCCTCACCTGGGCCCAGATGAATCTGAGCTTAGCAGTCTGGCCCCAGAGACTGGACTCAGCCTGGTGCTGTGGAGCGTGGCTCCTTCCGCTCTCCCCAGGGCAGTGAATTCCCGACAAATGCATTGCTTGGGGCTGGCAGTTCTAAGTTGTAGTTCAAATGGCTTTGATCCCTATCTCTTTAAAAAAAAATTACTTATTTGAAAGAACCCTAGAGAGATCATCCACCCTCTAGATCCCTCTCCAGATGGCCGCAATGGTCAGGCTTGAGCCAAGCCAAAACCAGCAGCTGGGAGCTTCATCTGGGTCTTCCACATAGGTTTCAGGGACCCAAACACTTGGGCCATCGTCCGCTGCTTTGCCAAGCCACTAACAGGGAGCTGCATCAGAAGTGGAGCAGCTATAGGATGCTAGCATTGCAGGCAGTGGCTTAACCCACCGTGCTACAACCTCGGCTCCCATTGAAGGATTTTGAGTCAAGGAACAGCTTTCCCTGAGTTTCCCTTTTTGAAGACACCTCCTGGCTGCTCTGCAAAGAGTCAAAGCGTGGAGACCAGGTAAGGACAGCCTAGTGCATGATGACAGCTTGAACTGGGCTGGTGGCTGGAGATACAGGTGGAGAGGATTTGAAAGCTGTTTGCAAGTCGATGGGGGTGGTGCACCTGGAGCTGAGAGAGGCAAGCACTGAGAGGTGGGGAAGGCTGGGGACAGAGGGAAGCAGTGGCCACTCACATCACTGGGCACGCGCAGGAGGGAGGACGGAGGCCAGAGTCCTTGGGAAGAAGGAGAGAGCTCTTCTCTGCCGTGCCAGAACCAGACCAGTGGACGGTAACTGGAGAAAGGCGTCAGACTCCGAGGTTTGTCTTGCACATGGTGGAGGCTTTTAAGTGGGGCGATACTGGAGCATAGTGTTACTGACAACCCAGCAGAGAGAGAAAGTGACGGTTTTAGGAAAAAAACGAAGGCTGCACTCTGGAGAGGGTGCCAGGCTCGCCCCGTGGCTAAGCAGAAACTGGTAGTCCGTAAGATGCTCCTTGTTGCACAAGGGAGAGATGGAAAATGCAGATTAGATGTGGGTGGATCTGAGGTAGCCAGGGTGGAAAGATCAGGGCAGTTCTGTCTGAATAGTTCTAGTTTTTCTGTTCCGTATTAGATGAGAAACGTGAAGGCTCAGAGATCCGTTAACTTGCCTGAGGTCACGTGCACTGGAAGGGGCTGAGCTGGATCTTCTGATTCCAGGCCTTTCCTCACCTGGGTCACCTTCTCTGCTGTTCCTTCCCCTCCGCAGTGTGGTGCCCGTGAATAATAATCTGTGCAACCCGAGTGCGATGAACCTCTCCGCCGTGGGCTTCACTGTTTGCACTTGTTGGTGCTGCCACAGACGGCAGTGAACGCCACAGGCCCTGAAATGTTCTTTCTCTGTTTCCATCCATAACCCCAGCTGCTGTTTCCTTTCATGGCACCATAATCTGAAGAGAAACCTGCTATGCTCTCCGCAGTTGCTGGGGCAGAGCAGGTGGATGGAGGGTGGAAGGTTCTAGCGGCATCTTCGCCGGTGAGGGCTGTGTCAGGCCCAGGGTCTCCCTCCCATTCACCAGCCTCGGGAGCCCTATTCATTTATCCTGGAAAGTGGCTGCAGGAGTGCAATGTGGCTGAAGTGTGGCTGGGGAGGTTTCCTAAGGTTTTCATTTTTTTTCTTAATTATTTGAGAGGCAGAGAGAGCTCCTATCTACTGGTGCATCACAGGCACCGCCTTGGGATGGAAAGATTGGCCATGGCTTCCGTAGACTATGACTTGGCATTCCCCCTGGGGAGTTCCCCATGAGCTGGATCCTGCCCTGGCTGTGGCTTCCCCTGTCTGCTCTTCTCCGTGGCCAGCCTCCTGCCCCCACTTTTCTGTTGTCCTAGGATGAGCTTTGCAGATCCCCTCCTCCCAGGGCACTCTCATGACCTGGGCAGCACTGTGTTGACCTGGCAGCACTCTGCGTGACTTGGGCAGCACTGTGTGTGACCTTGCAGTGGAGGGAAAATGCTGGTTCATGGGAGGCCTCCCACAGGTTGTGAGTGCTGGCTGAGTTTTGCAGGCTACCTAGACATGACCCAGAAAAGGAAAGGAAGTGCTGTGTTTAACTTCTGAGAGGTAGAAATGAGCCTCATGCGTTTAGGGAACGGGATAAGCAAAGCGCAGAGCTTTCAGTGAGACAGGAGCTCCAAGGAGAGACAGGAAGTCAGTCATGGAGAGCCTATGTCTCCCGTAATTAAGTCTCTGGCCTACACCTTAGGCCACGCCATTCCCTTCCATTAAATGCCGATGCTGTTTTTAACACAGCCATGCATAAGGGAGCCTAAGGCAGCTGACTTTCCTCTCACCTGTATTAGCTGGACACTGTTGTCTGCTCTAGAGTTGTTTCAAAATAATAAAGTGCAGGGACACAGTTTGTGTGCCTGAGTCTGGTGTTTCGATGGGTGCTGACTAGCAAACTGGGGCACAGATACAGGGACACGGCTCTCAGCTAGAGCTGGCTGCGTTTTTAGGAAAAAAGTATAAAGTCCAATGCCTAGGTACAGAGATAGTACAATAGCAAGAGAGAAGTTCAACACAGCGTGTTACAGTATCTAGTAACTCTTTATTTCCACCCAAGACTGTCTGTCCCGCTGGGACTCACTGCCACCCGTGTCTGATGCTGCGCCTGCCTTTCCCCTCGGAGACGGAGGCGTGGACCACGTTCTGCTTACGTCACCAAAGTCTTCCTCGCTACCCGCCAAGCGCCGTGCCTCTGACTCTATCAGACCTTATCAATGTTTCAGGACTGGAAAACCGCGATATTTGCATCTGCAAAACAATGCATGACTTTAGGACTGTAACAGGCTTTAAAGCAGAACATACATGCTCTTTCTGCTTCTCCCAATGTTTTTCTGATTAAGATTTTATAATTTTACTCCCATTCATGTTTTCACAGAAACCTGCACTCTGTGCCTGAGTGTCTCTCTTTTAGAATTTACTTATTTTTAAAATGTTTATTTATTTATTTGAAAGGCAGAGTTGGGGGGGGAGAAAGAGAGAGAGACAGACATAGAGAGAGAGAGAGAGACCTTCCATCTGTGGGTTTACTCCCCAGATGGCTGCAATGGGCAGAGCTGGGCTGTCCTGAAGCCAAGAATCAGGAGCTTTTTCTGGGTCCCATGAGGGTGCAGGGGCCCAAGCACTTGGTCTGTCTTCAGGCTCATTAGCAGGGAATTGGATTGGAAGTAGAACAGCTGGGACTTGAACCAGAATCCATATAGGATGCCGGGGCTGCAGACGGCAAATTTACCTGCTACACCACAGTGCTGGCCTCCGTGATTCCATTTTCTTTACTGATTAAAAATCACTTGAGGGGGTAAGCATCTGGTGTGGTGGTTAAGAAGCCACTTAGGATACCCTGAACCCACATCTGGGTGTTGGGATTCACATTGTAGCTCTGCTCCTGATTCTAGCTTCCTGGAATGCGCAGCTTGGGAGGCAGCAGGTAATGGCTCAAGTGACCGTGTCCCAGAACCCACATGGGAGATTTGGATGGAGTTCTGAGCTCCTGAGCCTGGGCCTGCCCTGGCTATTGCAGATACTTGGAGAGTGATCCACCCAAGCTTAACTCCACCATGCACAGACTTTTGGGGAACCCCCGTGTCCCCATGCACTCACACAGTCCTAGCGGAGAAGCAGGTAAATAGTTCCAGGCGTGCAGGTGCGTGCTGCGGGGACACATGATGGCACATGAGCATGCGGGGCTGCGTCCCAAGGGCTGGGAACAGAACCCACACAGCCCAAGGTTAGAGGCAGCCCCAGGTGTCTGAGGGGTGGGGCAGCCTGCCCACAGGCCAGGGGGTCCAGGGAGCAGTCTGCAGAGGCAGCTTTAGGTCAGTTCCAGAGGCACATTTTATGTCAGCTCACAGAGTGCACACACAACAGCTAACTTACATTACCCAGAATGCTCTCAATCAGCCAGTGTAAGGAACAGTAAGACAACAGAGAGAATGAGAACAAAAGAAAGACAACTTAATTACTTGTGGGCTGCAAAAGATCCAGACACTGAGGATCTCATGGGATCTGAGGGTGCCATGGTCAACCTGCATTAGAACTGGGGTCCAGATCTCCAGGACAGGACCAGCCCCATTCATTCATTCCTTCTCTCTCTCTGCCCGCCCCCAGCCCCTTCTCTCACATCTCTGTCCCTTGGACTCCAACTCAGACACAGGCTCCCTTCCCAGGAGAGAGGGCTCCCACCATCCTGGCATTCACAGCCCCCACTGGAAGCCCTCCGGATGGAGAACTCTTCCTGGTACCTCTGTCTCCGGCCCGGCAGAGCCCTGGCATGGACGCTACCTGCATTATGAGCTCATCCAGCTCAGGCACTGTGACCAGGGGTGGCCACCCAGGGGGCTGTGCCTGTGTCCCCTGCCCTTCCTGGCCACGGGTGAGGGTGATGTTTTGGGTCTCGTTGCCCCACTAAAGAGGCATTGTGTAGACACTTTCTCTGTTGATGAGTAACCTGGCTGTCACTGGTTCTGCATGTCCACCCCATTAGCACATGGTCCCCAGCAGCCTTTAGCTGAGTACAAGGGCTCTCATCAGCTTGATAAAACACATCAACACACGTGCAGATTATTTATCACCACACCCAGTGAACCAAGTTTGACAAAAGTCTGTGACACCTCTCTGAGGACAAGCAAAACTCCTTTACTTCACTGATATCAGATTTGGAGGGAGAAAGAAAGCTTGGTTCTGGGGACTGGTGTATGGCACAGCGGGCTAAGACACTGCTTATGATGCCAGCATCCCATACTTGAAGTGCCTGTTCAAGCCCTGGCTCCAAGCCCCTACTAACACACCTGAGAAACCAGCGGCATATGATCCAAGTACCTGGGCACCTGCAACCCCTGTGGTAGACCTGGGTGGAGTTCTAGGCTTTTTAAAAAGGTTTATTTTTGATTATTTTTTTATTTTTTGACAGGCAGAGTGGACAGTGAGAGAGACAGAGAGAAAGGTCTTCCTTTGCCATTGGTTCACCCTCCAATGGCCGCCGTGGCCGGCGTGCTGCGGCTGGCACCCTGCGTTGATCAGATGGCAGGAGCTAGGTACTTATCCTGGTCTCCCAGGGTGCAGGGCCCAAGGATTTGGGCCATCCTCCACTGCACTCCCTGGCCACAGCAGAGAGCTGGCCTGGAAGTGGGGCAACTGGGACAGAATCTGGCGCCCCTACCGGGACTAGAACCTGGTGTGCCAGCGCCGAAGGCAGAGGATTAGCCTAGTGAGCCGCGGCGCTGGCAAAAAAGATTTATTTTTTTGAAAGGTAGAGTTACAGAGAGAGAGGGAGGAATACAGACAGACAAACAGACAAGACATGCACACACACACACAGACACACAGAGCATAAGGGGAGAGGGAGAGAGAGAGAGACAGAGATACAAAGAGAGAGGTCTTACATCTGCTGGTTCACTTCTCAAATAGCCACAATGGCAAGGGAAGTGCCAGGTGGAAGCAGGAACCAGGAGCTTTCTGGGTCTACACTGTGGGAGAAGCAGCCTAAGCATCTGGGTCATCTTTCGCAGCTTTCCCAGGCACATTAGCAGGGAGCTGGATTGGAAGTGGAGCAGCCGAGACTCAAGCCAGCACCCATATGGGATGCCAGTACTGCACCGCTGGCTGAACCCATTACACCACAGTGCCAGCCCCGTAGGCTCCTGGCTTTAAACTGACCCTCCCTAGCTGTTGCGGCCATGTACGAAGTGAACCAGAGGATGGAAGATCAATCCCTCTCTGTCCACGGATCTCTCAAATAAATAAATCTTAGAAGAAACTGTTATGCCCAGATCACTGAATCCCCAAAAATCACCAGAGACTTGATCTCACCGAAATGCAAAAGCAAGGTTTACTCTGGAAGTATAAGCTGCGGCAGGGACCTCATCTAACCAACCGACGCAGTGGAGGTCAGAGGAAGGCCCTGAGCTTTGTTCGGGAGCGTTTTTAAAGACAAAGCTGCAGTGTTACATCAGCAAGGGTTTGGGGTACGGGCTACAGGATTGAACGGTGCCATTCCTGGTAGCTCTTGGTTGGACGAGTCTGATCCTGATTGGCTCAGGCCCAGGGCATTTCCTTATTTGGTTTTGGTAACTGTTGAATGTTTGCATTTACGGGAACTTGGGCCTGCTCCAGAAAATGGAGGCTACTTTTTAAAATGGAGGCGCCTTGGCTCTTCAGAATTTAGGCGCCAGTGCTGTGGCATAGCAGGTAAAGCTGCCACCTGTGACACTGGCAACCCATATCAGGAGGCTGGTTTGAGTCCCGGCTGCTCTGATTCTGATCCAGCTCCCCGCTAACGTGCCTGGGAAGGCAGAGGAAGATGGCCAACTACTTGGGGCATTGCCAACTGAGGGGAGACCTGGATGGAGTTTGGGTGCCTGTCTTCAGACTGGCCTAGTCTAAGCCATGGTAGCCATTTGTGGGGGGGGGGCAGGGCAGGTGAACCAGTGAATGAAAGTTCTCTCTCTCCCCTCTTTCCTCTCTCTTCTGTCTCCACCCGTGTGTGTTTATTGTCTCCCTGTATCTGTAACTCCACCTTTCAAATAAATAGTTTTAAAAATAAAAACAGTCTAATAAGACATTTTCTTAGCAGTTTCCTTTGGGATTTACACTGAATTGAATTCTTGGGGCAGTGCCCACAGAGATTCCGCCTCCTCATTTTAGTCCAGCGTGGACAAGATAGGACTTTCCACAGCATGTTCAGGCTACTGCTGAGCAGAGCTGGGGGACACAGAGTCCTCAGGGCCATCACTTACCTTGGGGGAGATGAATTTTCTAAAACCACATGGGTCTGCAAGGCTCCCACCAGCACTGGGGAGGAGTGATGAGAAGGAGAGCTGTGGTGTGTCTCTCGTCCTTGCCGACGCTGTTTTGCAGTCCGGATGGGAACTCTGTTTTTCCTCGAACTGGGTTACTTGAAGGGACTTGGAAAACCTCATGGAAAATGGAAATAAAGGATGAGCTTATTTGTTGCAGTTTTTGAAATTCACGCATAGGAGAGGGGATACAAAACATTCACGGGCAAAGTATGTTAAGGACAAACTATGCACAGGTTTTCAAAAGTTTTTGCACCTAAATAAATTTTGAATTCTATATCTGGTGATGTTTTGGTAGTATCCTGAGTTTCATCTTTATTTGATCTGCCTTCAAAAACTCCAACCTTATTACAAAGATGAGTTTTTACCTGTGCTTAATGGAAAACAGTCCCCAACGTCTTCATAATTTAATTTTTTTGACTTTTGTAGCAAAACTGTAGTGAGAATTCCTGGGGTGCTGGTTCTTTCCTCTCAGCCCTGAGGAGGTGACCAGCACTGCAGGAAATCATGGAGAAATCGCATTGTGCAGTGTCCCTGGACATCCTGGAGGAGGGGGTCATCTCCCCAGGGAGGGGTTCCTCTCCCAAGAGGGTGTGGGCAGTCGGTGCAGAGGGACCATCATGTGTTCCTGGGGCCCATGGCTGTGCTGGGCCCTGGGGGCTCCTCAAGAACTGCAGGAGACACAGATCCACTTGCTATGTGGGGGCAAGGGTTACCGGGCTCACTTCCTACCTGAGATGAGTGTGGGGAGCAACTCGGACTAGACTAAGTTACTGGAATTAAGACTTATTCTATGCATCTGCTCTCCCACAATATGGCGCTGGGAGAGAAGAAAACAGCTTCTACACAGCTGCCTCCAGTTCAGCCAATAAACTGTAGGACTTGCTCCTGATTGGAGGAGAGCAGCGTACTCGGCGTGTGGGTAGCAGAGTTGGGATTGGTGGAAGAGGACTATAAAGGAGGAGAGAGACGGCATGCACCAGGAACATCTAAGGGGAACATCTAAGGGGAACACCTGTGCAGCCCCCGAGAGAGCCGGCCGGCGGTGTGCCGCTCCCCCGCGGAAGTGGGGAATGTGGCAGGGGGAACCGCCCTTCCACGGAGGTGGAAGGGACGGTAGCCACCCCGGGAAGAACCAGCAGCAAACCCGGGGAGGGCCGAGCAGACGAAAGAACAGCGCAGGGTCCTGTGTCGTTCCTCCACGAAGACGGGGAGCGACATAATGGTGCCGTGACTCGGATATGAAGCCTAGGCAGGGTTTAGTGTCGTTCCCCCATGAAGACGGGGAGCGACAGATGAGTTTGTCGCTTCCTTGGGAGAAACACTGCTCCTGAGGGCTCAGCACGAAGCTGTCCCAAGGAGACAGATGTGAGGCTGTGATGCGGCCATCGTCCCGTCCTAGTTCTGGGCAGTGCAGGACCTGAGGAGTTGAAGCAGGGAGTTTCTCCTTTTTTCCTAAGTTGCATTCTATGTGTGTGAGAGTGAAGAGGGGAAAGAGAGAGTGCTAGTGAGAGAGAGAGAGAGAGAGAGGGAGGGAGGGAGCTAGGGAGAGGGAGCTAGGGAGCTCCTCCATCCTCTGATACAGCCCATAAATGACCTCCAGGCCTTGGCCAGGCTGAAGCCAGGAGCCAGGAGTTTTGGTGGTTGTTGTTACAGGAGCCCAAAAACCCCAAGTGCCTGGCAGTGCCTCGATTCCTCCCTACCGGGTGGAGGACAGTCTCAGAGGATGTAGCTTTCTCGGCTGCCTCTGATTGGGCCTTCCATGTTTGGACTGCACAGACCCCACTACCTTCTGGGCTTCCAGGGTTTCTGCCAAGAATCTGACGATGACTTAGGGGGAAAGGGTGACAGAGCCACCTTCCTCTCAGCTCTGGAGGTGCGAACAGTGTACCTGGCGGTGTCTTGGGCAGCAGAACACTTGTTGAGTTTACCGAGGCCAGAGTGTTGTTCCATCATTCTGAGACCCATCACTCAGAGAGTAAAGACAAAGGAGGGGCTATACTAAGTGGAGACACTAGGAGATCTTCAAAAGATGCAACGTATCATCATTTTAAACTAGTAATGAGAAGTGCCACCCAAGCAATCTATAGGTTGGAGTTTCTCAAAAATTAAGTATCAAGCCCTATCACCAACCTAGGCCAAAAACTCTTTGGGTATCGTTTTAATTTTATTGGAAGATTATCGAGAAAAACCCCTGTGGATGAACTACAGCTCCCATTGGTCAATTTCTTGCTCTGACTTCATAAGTCACCACTGTTATGAAAGTCATATTACACAGTCCCTGGCTGGGCTGTGACGGTCCATTTCTTGCTCTGCTCTCACAAGGCGCCATTATGATGTGAGGTGAAACCCCCAAAAAGTATATATAGCTGCTACGGGGGCCTAGATTTTTGTCCGCCTTACCCAGAGGCACTCTTTTTGTGATCTGTGTAACTAGGACCCATCTAACCAGCCTTTGCGCTCGTTGGTGTTGCTTGTGCTTTTTCTTGGTTGTTTGTTTCTGGGTCTATTTGGTTTTTGCTTGTTTCCATTTTGTTTAGTTTGTTGTTTCCTCCTCGTTGTTGTTTTGCCCATTTGGTCTTTTTTTGCAGTTTTCTTTATTTTTGCTTCCCCCACTCTAGTCAGCTAGCACACTCAGAAGTATCAGCGTTCGAGGATTTAGTGGCTTTTCCTCTTTGTTTTTTCTGCATTATTGAGATAGGCTTGCGGCATCGCCGCTAGAGTAGTGAGAGTAGCTGGTGCTGTGTCTTAGTCAGCTGGGTAGTCAGTCCCCCGTGGTCCCTTTGTGTTGTTAGCAGTGCAGTGAGGATCGGTGATTAGCTAGTGTGTGTCGAGTGATTTAGGGAGTCGAGAGAGCGTAGTTAGGTGACCGGCATCATGGAAGACCCCTTGGACTTCCATCCTCCTCTGGATGGGATCCGTTTTGTGGACGTAATCGGCCGGGGCGGCTTTGGCCTGGTGAAGCTGGCCCG